AGAGTAGCGAGCCAAATTTCTGGATAATTGCGAAATGTATGGCTTTCATTGAAGCTGGAAGCGTCTTACAGGGTTCTGGTGGATAGATTATTGGATATCGGTCGGGGGTCATGACATCTCTTCGGTTTCACTCTAATGCACTTGGCACAAAAAACCCGCTTTAACCGTATAAGGATCGTTTACTTCAAGCAAAAAACATACGAATCTATCATAAAGTATCTTAGTGATAGCCAAACGTCACAGCCACACTTTTTCACAGAGGTGACGCTGTCTGCTTAGTCGAGAGTTGAGAATAATTTATATTCTATTACTAAATTATTTTTATTTATTATATTATATATTATTGTAGATCTAAAAAATATTATTAAATAAAATATATTGAATATTCGTACAACGTCAATTAGGCGCTCTTCATAATGTCTCATGACGCTACGAAGGAAGCACCAACGCGTGGTGGTTTCGTGAGTAGTACGTGGTGGTTTCGTGAGTAGTATAACACGTGTCGTTTTTCCGCCTCATTTTTTGTAGATACGTATTGGTCTAGGTTCGAATCCAGGCATAGACAGATTTTGCCGTGAAGACTGAGAGCCGACCACCCAGCCATCTGGTGGAATATTTAATGGCTATAACACTGGACGAAACACAGAGATGCGTATTGGACCTCTGGACAAGAGCAAGACGAAAAGTGATCTCAGGGGACGTAAAATCTTTGGGGAAACGTCTTGGCGATGGTCTGACGGTGTTTTAAATAAAATCTTAACTGGAAAACAGAATGGTTCGCGGTTTAAAAAAGTAAAATATTTTGGTGCCACTTTTGTTTAACCTAAAATATAAGATAACTGTCGAAGTATAGGCTTTGGCGCGTACTTTTATTAGGTAGTTGTATAAATGTTCTATGAAATGCCACCAAATATATTTTATGCGATAATTGCCAGGATGTCTCTCTTCCTTATACATATATGCGTCTCAATTGGGTATTTTCTCATGCTCCGTTTCGGAAACTGTACCTAGACAAGAATTCATGTTGCAACGATATTGTCTGCACGCAGAAAAAGTCTGACATGTCATTCCTGACACTCATGTCTGTTGAATATAATCATCATTCACTGCGATTATAATTTAATTCGGAACTTAAATTACTGACTAAACATTTTCCATTTTTTTTCCGACAGTATATTAATGTCGGACAATGTTTTTCAGGTAAAATCAAAGCAAACGTTCCAGAATAATAAGTATGCGCCATTTTTATTTGTGACTTTTGATTATTTATCTGATCACCTCACCACAGATGAACCTTTGTGGTTTTTAGACAAAAAATTGTAACAATATTGTCATATTTACAGATCTTCACTGAAACTAAATTTACATTATTAAGAGGGTTCTCCTCCAGGTTGACACATAGAATAATTGGATGGTAGAAGATACAGCAGATGCATTAAAATCTTCGACAAAGTTCTGTGAAGCTCTGAAGCTAGCTAAAGATGTATACAGTCTGGCATTGCGATAGGGGAAAACGGCGCCTGATTTATTTACTATCTCTAAACGATATATTTCAGTGTGCGGCTGTAACTTTATAAATTGCTAACAGTAAAGATCTAAGTCAATCGCTTACCTAAACGTCAGCAATTGATAATACACGACTCCATTGCAACTCCATCAATCAGACAATAGCATTTCCTTTGGCGTCAATCGGCTTGTTCCTACAATTTGTCTTTCTTCGTTCTTTTTTTTTTGTTTCTATGCGAGCATTATTATCGTATATGATCCGTTTGTCCTTACATGTCTTAGAAATGGCTTGATTTCATTATGTTTCTGCATTGAAGCTTACGATCAAGTTATATCATCAAGACTATATTAATTTGTATCATACGCAAATGGCGAGCTTCTTTTGTAGCCAGCTTTCTTCAAATAAGTCAAAGTTGTTTGATGGTAAATGTTTATTGCTCGCCAATATGATGACTATTCATGTGTCAGTCCTGCTCAACTTTGGCGACCATTTCATCAGCTACTGCTGTAGTTGGTCGGCCGCTATGAGGACATCTTTTCCACCGGAATTTCCAAAATAGAGGCAACAGAGGCATCCTTGTGATAACCCATCTTGGTTATGAGTAGCACAGATATTTCTATGTGCTAAAGTTATAAAATACAGTAAATGTTTGTAGAGATTTTATTTCTTTGTGAGACGCTCTATCTAAAATCTGAATGAAGACGTCCCAACATTTTTAGTACATCTACTAATCTCAGCTTTCAAAGGACACCAACGTCGATCCGAAGTAGCCCATATTTTGTTGCTCTGAGAAAATGAGCGTGAACGAACAACGTTTTATCTGTCAGCTAAAAGCTTATAACATGATGTGGTACCATGAGGTCAATTTCTGTTTAGCGGTATCGTTACCTCGCTAAGAATTTCAAGGATACTCCGCGATACGACAATGAAGACAAGGCTGTAAGCGTGTGATTTTTTCGGCTTCGTACTAATAAGTCATCACAAGGTTAAACGGCATACCACGGTTATTGGCCGAGACTATCTGATCTTTCAAAAGGAAAGAACTTTTCTTTCTTGTATGTGTGCGCGTATTTTCTTTCACAGTTACCGTGTCAATCGTTTTTTAAATCAGTTGAAGTCGCTTCTCAAGTTACGTGGCTGAAACTCTTGAATGAAGACGCACTGTACAATTATTTCTTTCAGTTTATAGCTATTACATTAGATTAGCTACTATAACAATATAGAAATAGTCATCAGTGCATCACTTTGATGCATGAAGTAGCGTCGACTTCGTGTGGTGTTTACTTTTAAACGGTAGCATCTTGCCGCAGCAACCGGAATCGATTACGGAACTAAAGATAAGAACTTGTGGGTGTTTGGTCCTACACGCTTAGGCGGATTCGTTTCGCTTCTAAATCTTAACCTAAAATCTTCTAAATGTTTAACCTAAAATTATTAAATAATATAAACTCAAGCACTGTCTCTAATAAAACACTCTGTCCCGTCCTGTTCAAGTTTTATTTTTGTATAACCCGATGCAGTTAGATCGAATGGTGTCAAATCAGTGATTTCGTAGAGGAAGTCATTAGAAAATATTCACGGCTCCACTGCAACATCATTCAGCCTCTGAGCGGCCATTAACTCGCAATTAATCACTATCTTGATACTGCCGTGGATGATTTTCGACCCAGAGCGGCTCAGAAGCCTTCACGATCCTAAAACGATGAAGTGAGCATACTCGGCCCCGTTTAGATTTTGCGCGCCGAAGTAGATTTTGTATTGTGTAAGATCTTCCACGTATCATATCGTCTAACAGTTGCGCCTGATGCACGTATATTCATAGGGCTTTGTAAAAAGCACAATTGATACTCGCTTACGAAAGCTGACGTCCGATTTCTGGACACTGGCAACGCTCTAAGTGTTTAGTTAGTCTGACTTCAGCGATTTCACGTTTAACTCTTGAGGCCGAAATTAATTTTTATGCGATACATTACGAGCACAACGAGCTATGAAAGAAACTAGACTTGACAAAATGCTGTACTTTAGAACGGAAAAATAAACAATCAACGTCAGAAAAACACGTCATAATCAACAGATCATATAAGATATTTCACAACCACACTTAACTCAAACTGTGCTATATGAAAATTTGATTTATTCCGTCACTGTATCTGCAGATCCGAAAACGTACTCTGTCGTACAAGCTGAATAGACTATAAATTGAAGATCCGAAACAAATAGCACTTGAAATGTGTTTGTTTCCACTAAAGGAGGCCATGCCCGTAATGGAGATTTTATTTTGAAAATGAATGGTTTGTGGATCTCAAGAACTTTTCTACATCCCGGCAAAAGATTTAGCACCATTTTCGAATGGTATCTTGTGGAGACTGTCTGTTCCTTTTGGATGGCGGAAAACTAAAGGTCTGTTAATGCTGGTCTGCTTTTCGCAGCAGATTCCCCGCCATTACGACATCTGAAAGTTAGGATCGATATGTATATGTCAGATTTAGTCGATCTGTAGAGGTTTTTTGACCCTCAAGCTATTGGGCCAAACTCTACTATGCCAACTATGCAAGACTATTTAACATGTTGGTACATAAGACGCACGTGTATCATCAACAAACGTCGCCCAAATTAAAATTGTATAAAGCATATTAAAGTATATTTGCCAACAGAGAGCATGTAAAACTTACGTATAACTAACCGAAGATCGTTGCTTTCGCCAAAGAGTCTCGCCAAAAGGTCAAAAGAAAAAAAATTATTAATTATACCACACAATTGCACTGCCTTTGCTAAATTATCAATACTTATAGTGCTGATTCTTCCTTAGTGGAATATTTTGTATTATTAAGCTAATGAAAAAGCTGTCTGAACACATTGAAATAACAATTTTGAACATAATAATAAGAACTTATATGGAAATAACTTTTATCCCATAACTGCGATGTCATCACGGTGTATTACGTTAACAGGAATTGCAACTTTTAACGAGGCAGCAAACGCTCTACCTGACGCAGAGGAAAATCCGTTACGCTTTGAAGATGGGCAAGTATAGAGCACGAAGTAATCAATCTTAGACTTATTTAAGGTTGGTGAAATCAAACGGTAACTATGTACAAGTTTTCCGAGTTATTGCGGTCTACTCAGAAGTTAAACAAAGTTCAGTATAGCAGACAGAGTTGGCGACGGAGAACTCTAGCATATAAAATGGATCCGATAGAACGGATATTTAAATTCTGTCAAAATGTGACTGCCTAAGATGTTCAGTTACTTTACGTTTATTGGAGAAGAAGCGTTAATGTGAAACGTAGAGCGCTCCTGAGATAAACTAGCTTCTAGGAAATATCAGGTATTTACCTACGTGAGCAATATTTAGACAAACAACAAGACGACCTTTCATTTGTGCAAAATCAATTAAACCTGGTCAATTAATTATAAATTGCTCGATAAACCATTCACGTATATCCTGCTCTAAAAGTACAGCCCGATACCCTGCACAGGGCAAGTTAATCACTGTCAAATCCATTAATTTCAGTTAATTCAGTTTACTTTTTAGCTGCTCAACAAACATCTGCTAGCTCCACGGACCTTACAATTCTATGACAGAATAGCTGGCTACTCATGAACAACTGTCGTCGTTGCATGATAGTTGTACGGAAACACCTACACACCCTCTTTCTATCGAACGGTTATGCCCCCTGTGGGCATTCACGGCACACCCATCTGTGTCATAATGGCAGATCTTTACCTAAGTCGCCCCTTAACGCTCGCTCGCTGATCCTTTGAAAGGGAAGGAACAGATAGGCTGGCCAGTATACATAGCACAATCTGCATAATGCAGGCGTTTCTGCGCTGTGATACCCAACTATCCTCGCGCCAAGTCGTCGTGAACGGCACCGCTCATCTTGTTGACTATTGGCCTCTGCTGTGAGTGTTAACATCCCTCGTCGCTATCGTCGTTATAGCAGCAGCCGACGAGAGCTCCCTCTCCCAAGTGGCGCCAGCTGGGGCAAACATACGACAGTAGTAGTGGTAGTAGTAGTAGTAGTAGTAGCAGCGGCGAGCCGACTGGGAAGGACCACTGGTGTCTGTGCGACAGACTTCGCTTGCAGCCGGTCGGACACAGTATCAGTCTGCGAGGAGACCGATGAATCCTGCTCCTGCACTCACCTCCTCTTCCTCGTCCGATCAAACAGGCCAGAGTGAGCTCCCAAACGAACTCGTGATGATGTAAACAAATCGCGTGAGCATCGGGCAACCAGACAGCAAACTTCCCTGTGCCTGTTGTAGGTAGGGTTTGCTGCCCAGCTTCTGTTTCGACTATAGTGAAGCAGCGGTGTGACGACCGGAAAAATCAGCGACATGACTAGTACGATTGTTATTAGGTTATTTGACCACTGCTACAACGGTTGTGTCTGTTACTAGTTGGTATAGACGGTTCCGTCAATTCGCGCTCTCGACTAATGCGTTTTATTGAGCCTCTAGGCGACGACATGGCGTCAGTATCACTCGATCGGCGCCCGTTCTATCGCAAGTAAGCGGCAATTGGGCTAATACAACAGAAATTCTTAGGAGAGCAACAATACAGCGGAAGACTTAAACCACGGAGGGGAAGAATTGCATCGACCGGCGATAGCAGCACTTGCGTTTTGTGAGTGACATTTGCTATCCAAAGGTTCGATTTTGCCTGGCTTGGACACGCCAGCGTTGGAAGATTAGGTCACCGTGGTGGCGCCTAGCATGCAGGACCTCAATTACAGTGCTATAATAGTCGCGAACGAGATAATCGTTATTCGATAGATGTGAGTTGGTCTAACAGCGTACGCTGGTTGACTAGGCCGTTGCAAGATTGGCATTTAGGTTCGTGTTTTCGGTTATTAGGACGTTTTTTTTTGCTGCTGGCCAAAGAAGCTACGTTGAAATCTATAGGCCGCTCTATTCGAAAAAAGTGGACGACAAAATGGAGGACATTAGAGAAGCGCCCAAATGACAGTAACATCAAGTGTTCTATAAGGCTAACAATTGTCAGTTTCATCTTACTCGCAATGTTGTGACAGGGTGCGGATCGGGTGCCGGCGGGTATTTATATGGCATTCCGTTGACGTAGTGGGTAAACCCACCATAGCCGCAGAGTACCCATATTCGAAAGTGGGGCACTCCAGCACACTGTGCATTCGCATGAGAATTGTCCTGGAGTACCTATACTTTCTTCACTGGCGGAATTGACCGTTTTCTACAACTGAATTAAGGAGAGCGCCTATCACGTGCGGTGAAACGAATAGTTTTCGTTCGCTTTGCCTCGAATCACAATTCAGCTCACGGAAGCAGCGACCGGAGAGATTCTCATTATCGGTATGTACCGCAACTACCGAGTGTGGTTAGGTTTAGATATGGACAGTTTGGTCTTTCTAATTTAACTTGGCTTGGCACGAAAAAGAGACGCTAAATAGATACGATACATTCGAATATTTTGTACTTGGACGATGTGCTTCCGTGGAAATGCGTGTGTTTACACACGCGTTAAATTCCCTTGAGCAGAAGCATTCTCTAGACTTGCTAGAGGATCTACGTATTTCACATTTGACGGTACCATGATGATGGTGATGATTTCTGTAACGCCAACTCTTCATAACAATCGTTCCTAGTTTAGTATTCGATCGAACAAGCAATGACCATCACCAGTGAATCATGTAGATGAAGCCTCCTCAATTACAGTTCGCCGAAATTTCCGGGCTACAAGGTCCTGCATTACTGGCCTTCATGCATTGTTGTTGGGCTTCGTTTTCGCTTACATTGGTCGTTGCTTCAGTCGTTTAGACCGAACAGAGCGGTGCCTTAAAATGGTGTCTCATCCACAAAAAGCATATGGCTTTTTTACTATTTAATTATCCCAACGTCCGTCTGTTATGTCTGCGTTTAATCACCTCTTATAGATCACAACTGCCCGTAATGTTTGTCTTCACATTCGCTGAATGGCTGGTCCTGTTCTTTCTTCATCGTAAATGTGTAGGTAGAACTTACGGCCTGATTAGGTAGACAGTGCGCTTTGGGCTTGTCTATTTAATTTAGAAACATGTGGTGGTCTAGGTTCGAAACCGGGCCTAAACGCGCCTACCTAGCGTTGCGTTTTGCATTTTTTTTTATCTCTACTCCCTGCTGTACCCTCCTCCTATGAAACCACGCACTGTTTAACGGCAGAGTCAACAAAAGTGAGGGCAACTTTTGTTGTGAAACGTTTGCTGCTGCCGGATGTGTACGATATGGCTGCCATCGCTCTGGCCAATGCCGATGTTGCTGGAACCGATAATTATGTAACGCTTGTTAGTTAAATTAGATCAGGTCATACACTGGATGCGCTATATATGGATTTGCGAAATGAGCTTCTTTGTTGAAAGCTATCATATGTAAATTCTACACCGATTGAAATGTCCAGCCCTCTGTATCCCGTCGCAGTGAGCCAAATTCACAGATCGCCAATGAGCTGCAAAATGTAGACATAGGGATTCATCGAACGTTTCGTTAGGGATGGGCCACAAGCCATTTATTAGTCAACGTTAAGCGACAATGGCGACGAAATTTTCTGGTGCTTTTGTCGTCTGCTGGTGCTGAGTCATCAGCTGGTTTACGCAGTTATTGACGGAGTACATAACAGTCGATTAGGACGCCTTGCCTGTCAGCAGCGCCACTCGCTGCCGCATTCGTCTAAACCTTTCAGCTAAGATAAGTTTAAATCGGAGCGACATTTACCGTTCCGGGGGTAACATCGACGCTCCTACAACTTATCATTCAAGCAGATCATAAATAATGTACCGTGATAAGCTGGAGCAACGCTGACTAGCTCCGTGAGCCAATAAACTTGTATAGCAGCCGCTGCAGCTGTAAGTATGAGAGACATATGCATCTATACAAACTTTTATCAATAGTAGAGTTTTTCTCAAGATCGTTGCGTCTTATGAAAGCAAGAATGCTATAGATCCATAAGGTACGCTTCATGCATATGCCATCTTTTATTTCATATAGCATATATCGAACATACAAAGTCGCCGTTCTTAACTGCCACTGAGTTGTCACGTCGACGTCATGAACATGCTTCTTCTTCGACCAGGCTTCGTGTAACCATATGATCCTTTCGTAACAAACGAAACACAAAGAGGCCTTTTTTTTGCACTCACTAACTGCAGAGCCGACAGAACTCGGGCCGAGAAGTGTGGCCTTTGACACACCCAAGAACGTTGTCATACTTAACAGTGTGCAGGATCAGCTTAAGTTCCGTACATGTATCTTGCAGGTTTAAGATTAAAATTCGTCACGTAGGCGCTCAATTTTTTTTCTGCTCTGACAGCGCGGACCTTGACGCTGCGGCCGAGAGTAGTTCCGATAAACTATGCATATGTGTAATAAGTGGATTAGTTATAATTTAAATGAATTAATCACAAACTGATAAGTAGTTCGCAGCGCTCATATAGATGGCCTCAAGCTGTTGCGATACTCTGCGAGCGTTGACGTTAGCAAAAGCAGGCACTGAACTCTGATATGTTTTTCGCTGGTTGAGCACGGTTTAATGGAAGCATGCATCGAATATGTAATGCTGATTATTGAATCTTCCCAGAAAACAATAACGGCAAGTTATTTAGCGGTATTCATCACATATGCACATTTAAGATGTGGCTAAAAAAGCTATAGCACATAGGGATAACTGAAGCCGAAATAACCGGATGTATGAAGAAATGTCTAATGCATTCGTTATAGATTAGAGAACTCTAGCTTTCATTGATAGGCCATCGTCATCGAACGTGTAACAGGTTATTCGGTCCATTGGGGGAGAAGGGCGATTAGCCAAGTGCAATTAGGACTTTAGTCGGTAGTATCGATCTCACTTGGTCATCCATGGTCGCCGCCGCTACCCTGATGAGATTCAATTCTCCGGCTATAATAATGACGTGTTTGTGATGGAGCAGTGGAAATATGATTTCCTGGCAGACTTCTTCGGACGAACGACGAAACTGGATGTACATACACCGCCTCTGGTGCTGGATAGAGTGAGCTATCTGAAACGATGATTAAGCTAAGGCAGTGCCAAATGTAAAACTCGGAACATTTACCTAGATGTAGTAATTATATCGAAATTTTTTGCGTTATCTGGTGTTAGCGCGACGAAGCAGTTGAAATGGCTAAGTTTGGGCGTGGCGCTAGAAGCCATTGATTTGTGTTTATGGTGAGACGTATGATTTTGCCACAACGATCTAATCTTACAAGTTTGATATGACTAAATAGAGTAGATTGAATTATATTTGGCTGTTAGTTTTCCACCTATACTCTGTGTGATCTTCGATTTGTTTGGCTCACATCCTAAATATTTGCGTAGATCTTCTTGTCACAAGTATGCTGGGAAGATCTTATCTATTCAAAAGTTGTTATTATTGTTGATATATGACTGCAAAATTTCCGGCGACATAGAGGCTGATCATAGCGACTCATTCAATATCAGCAAAACGATTTTTTTAACGCCTTTTTCATTTACTAGCGAAGCCAAGGGTACATGTGTTTGGATGCTACCTATTGACGGTATACCTATATCTGAGGCAAAGGAAAAATTTGATTTTCGTTTACGGTAATTTTCAAAATGTGTGCTGCCCTCCTACTGTTTGCCTCCTTCTTCAGACAAGTCATTTTGAAGTTCGACAATTTTCTAGAAATTTTTTCCCGAACCACCTTGTCAGAGCGCTACGTCTATATAAACAGCATAAACGCAGTTGCGTTCATCTCTCTCTTGCTGTATTTGATTCCCAGATGACTAAAAAATCCCTGATCCTTTTGCAAGTTGCTGCCGGCAGATCTACGCGTTATGGAATATTGCGACTCACTGGCGAGGACACATGTTTTCTACCGAGCGGTGAGCCCATAAACTAACGATTTTACTTATAAAATACCTTACTTAAGTTCTAGTCCAAATTGCTACCCATTTTCCCCGCTGTGTTTTGCATTTCAAAGGAAATACCCAAAAAATTTCCCAAAAATTGTCCTTTTTCCATCCACACTCTCAAACGAAATTTTTCAAATGAACATATTCTTCTATTCATTAACATCTTCCAATTCGGAGCCAATTCCGTCTTTTGTTTACACTCGAATCTCATTGTTCGGTGACGATGATGACGACGCAAAAGCGCAGTCCTTATCAGACATCTACCGACATGGATATATCGGCTCCATAAACACGGCAAGCGTCCATGCACTACGCAGTCTGTACGAACCTATGATCACTCTGTATCAAATGGTCGAGGATGAACGACGTCACCCGTGATAGGCCTGAAGCATCAAAGCGACAACTTCCACGGTGGCGTGGGATCAGTCCGGGAGATCCTGAACTATAGGGTAACCGGTTCCAATACTGTAAGGAACATGTGAACTAATCTGATCCTGCACTTGTACATTTATCAATAACGCTATTATTATTATTATTATGAATCGTGAAAGCGTGCGTTTCCACGGTAACAGACACATGAGGCAGGGTTATTCTACCCTACCATTGTTCTGTAATTGATAATACTGCACGGCTCGAATAATTTTTGTAAAGGTACGCCGAGTTCTTGCTATGCAGCGTCTAGTGCGTGCCGCACTAGACGCTGCATAGCAAGAATAGAACAGGGAATAATAGGGAAATAGGGAAAAATAGACATGTCGTCGATTTTCTTGTGGTTTGCAGTTTTTGGGCTTTTTACATTTTTTGGATAAGACGCCCATTAAAGCGCTTTGCGCTGGTAAGTGATGTATTGCTTGTGAGAGACCTATGGCTATCCTTTGGTCTCTTACCTCTCTGCGCATATGGTCACTGAATAAGTAGAACGATCAGTATTAAGATATCTTAGAGAAGATGCAGAAAACGATCGCGGAATTTTCCTTTGTGAAATTACCCGAGTTTTATTTAATCAACGAATACACTTAGGTTATAAACACATTTGATCAGATGGTTAATGCAGAATGACTTTAATACAAACTGAGAAGCAAGGATGACCAGTAATTACATATTTACACCTTGCTACGTCTTAGGAGATGTTTACAATGTCGGAAAGATTCGTTTTTCAGATAAAGAAAAAGAAGGAGAAGGGTAAATAGACTGCGTGTCGCTCATTTTTATCGCTACGACTCAAGTTTTCATGTTCTGTCTGATTGTTTTGTCACACAGTTTGATTCGAATAATCGTGTGGTGAATTTCCATTGTCTTACAAGGCTCTAAGCTGCTCCATGGTACACCTTCTTCTAGTTTCTACTATTGCATTTGTATGGTTTGGAAAAGGATAACACGAGATTAGAAAAAAGCGGATACTTTACACAAAATGGCCGTTGTATTTTTATTATTGGTGTTATTATTATTATTTGCATTATTATACGCCGAGTACTTAATAGCAAATTATTTAAATAAATGAAGTTTAATGAACTTAATAATAATTATGAAGCAACGATTGCTGGAAGTGAATATTTGGGGAGTGGTGATTTTCATTATCGATTGACTCTGTTACGACCACCTTTCTGAACGCAGATCACCATTGTCACTGATAGCATTGAATTCAGAAGGCAGAGACTATGACTTTCAACAGTATTTAGAAAATCAAACGACGAATGAACTCACTAATCATAGCTTTATAATTTCACGTCTGCTACAATTGCTACGCATTGCTTCAAATTCAAACAACAAAAGCTGATTCGTCTGCTAGTAGCAATAGTTTCCTTTTGCTGGAAATCTGACAGATGAGTATCGACATCTGGAACTTTGTCACTTCCAGATGCATGGTCCACGCATAAATATGTAATTCCAATAATAATCGAATACGATATTGACCATCTTAACCATAATCTAGTTTCACTTTGCCTGTCCCTATCTGGTATAACTATGTAAGTTCTATATTTGTACTCTTGGAAATCAGTTTAGGCAAAAACCATCTTGCCGTTGCCGGCACCCGTTGGGCTAAAGATGTGGCATAAAAAAAAAGGCCTGTTTGTAATATGGTACTATTGCAGTGTTGAAAATGTATTCTCCGTTCGTAACTGCTTTGCTCTCTGACATCCGTGCATTGCTGACGTTAATGAACTAACTTCTTTTACGGGTTCGACTGGAACAATGTATGCGTTAAACGGTGATGACTATTTCGTGTGTAAGGTTTTCGATATATCTCTTGCTCCCTTTGGCTGACATTACACAAAAAATAATATTTGAAGAACAGAAATAAATAAATCTATATATGTATATATACAGCATCTCGTCTCGTTTCTAAATTCGAAGCTCGCAGCTAGAAGGTTAGATGCCGCTGTCACTATAAACAGCAGCCGGGCTGAGCTCACAAAAGCTGAGACGCTTATTCAGCTATGTTTACGCAGTCATTGTTACATCTTGCAATCTTCAGTCGACTTCAGCCAGTCGTGTCTCTGGCCCTTCTTCGGCTACCGCTGAAATTCTATCTGGGCCACGTTAATCAGTATATCACTAACTATTACTCGTTGTTAAAGGTAAAGATAAATTTTACAACCACTCGAGCGATTGCGAAGTTACTTGACCTGCTAAATGCTGAAGTACGTACGACGTTAGTCTCCTTCATCAGGTCGTATATGCGGCTTGATAGCGTTGACCTTGTCGTGTGTCGTCGCTTACGACTAGCGGCGCTCGAGCAGCGCCAAATAAAAGACTAAAAATAAAATAAAAGACTAAAAACGTTGTCTGCCAATAACAACAACACCACTAACAACAGAACGGTTTGTGTTGGTGAATATGTGCAACTGAATAGAGGCGGACAGCAGGATCTAATCGAGCTTGAACCCGGATGTTTGTGTGCTGACGGTTTTCTATTATGTTTGAGCGTGTGTATTTGGGATATAGCGGTGCATGGAACTATGTTAGTGTTTTGCGTTCGTATAAATTCTTCATAAAAATATTTCCGCAGAATAGAGTGAGTAAGCAGATGCTGTGTATGTTTGTGCAGTCCTTAAGCACAGGCGATTCCCATCGAAGGAGATATTGAAACGTGTTAAGCTGTCACAAGAGAATCCGACAGACTCTGAAACTGAGTAACTTTTGAACTGCGCGAAATATTTCAGTTTTCTTGAAGTTTGCAAGTTGGGTTGACTTTCGATAAATGAGTTCAGAAGGAAACGCACCTTTTAAACTCGACAGTCATTATTTAGCGGTCTAATTTTTATTCCTCGAACGTCGCAGGGCTGCGGAAATTAACGGAAGTTTAGTGAAGACATTAACGAAAAAATGCCGTAAGCAAAAGCACAGTACAGATGGTCCAAGAATGGAGACTAGACTGACAAAAGCTACTGGGGAGGTGACCAGATGTCATGGCCTGAAGAACAAACGCACTGCCGCAATTAGGGAGCTTTTCATAAATGCAAACTTTAAAGTCTAGTGATTTGCGTCGGTCGTTTGTGAGTTGGCTCCAGACCAGTTGAATATGTGTGTAATATATCTCACGTGTAATTTGCAGAACTTTAATGAACAAAAAACCCGCTTGGAGCATACGGCCGCTGTCGATGAAATATGGTTTAATCCTTACCTCCAGCCGCAAAGCGTCAAGGAGAAAGAAAGGCATCGCTCCGCGGAGAAATCGAGTTCAGTAACAGTGCTTAGTAGATCGTAGTACTTCCAGTGCAGATCAGGAGTCGCCTACTATGATCTGCTCGCCAAAAATGAAACGATAAATGCAGACTACTAAAAGACTCATAAATTATCGGCACGGCAATTGAGAGAACGCAGTCTGCTTACTTGATGACAATCCCAGATCTCATAGCTACGCCTCAATAATTTTCCAAATTGAGCAAAAATATATCCAACATTAATTTTAATTCGCTTATTCTCTAGATCTAGATCCGTATAATTGTGGGGTTTCTATGCCATAAAAAGAGTGACTGGTGGGCAGGCATATCCATCTATCGATCAACCTCGAAAGACCGTCGATGGAGAAAATATATATGGGAACATGAATAAGTTGCTAGATGGTTGGGACAAGCGCTTAAAAATTAAGGAGGATATTTCTAACACATTTTAAAACAAGTTTCTATTCTAGCCCAGATCGTATAAAAGTTAAATTCAATTCTAGAGTCCGCCAAATTTGCTCGTAGCAGCCTGTTAGCTTTTTATTCAATATTGATACTGTTTTTAAATATTGTATTGCGATAATTTAGTACAACTACGCAAATTAGAGAGAACATTCTCATAGTAGGTTTGGAAAAATCAACTGCTAAAGAATTTTAATTTTCTAGAGATTGCATTAGAAAGTAATTATCAATGGTAATTAAAACCATTTCCCTGCCATCATTTACCGTATTTGAATTTATAGATTATCATTTTAAAAAAAAGTTACTTTTTCCAGCTCGGTCTTCGCACTGACTTGGCAAAGATATTTTACTGGGCCATATATGGATGCGAGTCCAGATGATCCTCTTAAAGAGAACTTGTTCTCATGTAGGATTGTTACGGTTTCATTGGAACTGCTGTAAATATAGTCCACTCAAAATCTGAGAGGAACTCTGAAAGCGCTTATATCTGTGTCTCTATTTTTATGCTTTATCAATGCATGTATAAATGGATAAGCACATATTGAGTTAATATGATTTTTGGTTTTTTTTCAACTTCCGTAAACACATACAATGAAAAATGTATTTCCATAATATCACACTTACAGAATCGCGGATGGGAATAAGGGTATCGAACTTCTAAAAGATGAAGAATACGGCTTTCGTCATCTTCACCTTTTATAGTCGTGTACTATTATACACGCAGATGCCTGGATGCACAACTTCGATATCTGTTCGGTTGACTACGAATTTTCCATAATGAAATCAGTACGATGCTGTTCTCTACGAGCTGCAAAGTGATCTCACAGGAACAAACGGTCGGCAGTGATTTGGTGGACCAGCGACCAGCGCTCCCTGGGCTGCCACCACGGATAGCTGTACTGCATCGGAAATCCATTTCAGCTAGTTGGCTAGCTCATACCGTTGGGTCCCAGCACTTCTTTTGGTTTTTCTGCCATTGTTGGTGTTCAAATATCCACCGAACGGATGCTGGGCCTGCAGAGGCTTGATGCGGCCTGCGTATTTGCAAGAGTTAGTTTCTTTGAGAAGCAAACTTAGGAAAGACGACAGAGAACGCGGGGCAGGCTCATGTGATCACTGCTGTTTGACTCAAATGGGGGGTGAACGTCCTTTTTGTCATTCACCGACCGATCGTTTAGGTAAACGATTTTTTTCCATTGCCGCTGCTGCAGGTTTTCCCCAGCTTTCGTCTCCTCGTTCTTTTCTCGTTCCGGTCGCATGGTTTGCATTTAATTCCAATTGTTATTTGTGCTGTTCGCTTGAGCAAATTTCGCACTCGCCTACATTGACCGTACCAGAAAAGGGGCAAATCGGTGTGACGATGGAATTCCTTTTGGCCGAGTTGGTATGCTCCTGTTGTCTTTTCAATAAGGGAATGTCGACTGTGGATCTGGGAAATAATGTACTTATGTAGTCAGTTAAGACATGACAGTCCTATACGTTTTGTGCACTACATACTTTGGCCACATTGTGTACAAGCTAATCCAGGCAGGGGAGAAACTTTCTGCAGACATTTGTTCTTGCCGTAATGTTTTTGCTGCCGGAGCTATTGTCGTAGTTGTCGGATGTGTCGGTTCCAAGACGCGCCTTAGGATTTGTGCTAAGCTTATGATCTTCGATTTTTTTCTTCAAGGTCACGAAGCATAAAGTTTGTGAATTTTGATACAAAAGCGATCCATCCACGTTTCTGTTAGGACAGGCTAAACTAGTTAGGCTCCTATTGTTAGTATAAATAGATGCCCAAGCAAGCTGGGCTTGAACTTATGCTAGACCTGTGAGTGTATTTTTTTAAATTGCAAGAGCAATTAGTAAATAAATTATGCGTTAAGGCTTCATTTCAGTGATGGCTGTATGCCTCGTTTTTACGCCTAGTTGTAAAAGCGTATACTATTCTCTTCCGCACGATACACTTTCACTTCCGGAAGAAGCAGAGACGCACGCTCAAAAAACTTGACGCACTCAACTAAACTTTAGAAGCATCATGTCTGCTATTACGGTCAAACACAGCCCAAAATTATAAATTAAAAAAAAAATGCAATCAACATAGTCTACACTAGATTTTATTTTCAAGGTTATTTAAAAGTACCGTCGAGTCGCTTGAAAAAATCGAGGTTCTTCATTGCGAACCATAGACATATAGCACCATCATCATGATTATCCTCGACAGACTGGGCTATGTGGAGCTTATGAGACGTTTCAACCGTTACCAAATGTAGAATAAGAGCAAATATTACCGTGTTTATATTCTACATTTGATGCCAATCGTTACGAGTCGTGTATAGCCCATTCCGTAATGAATTTCCTATATATATATAGGGACATATATTTATGTCCCTATGGCCTATTGACGTTTGACATCGACCTGATTTTCGTGAGTCATCAGTGTTAGACGAGCTGCCGCGGCGGATATTCTTTCCAGTATCTAAAGCTGTTATGACAAACTTCATGCATGATAATTAACCAAATAAATTTTAGTAATAATAGTTACTCAAGCTATTTCTACACAATGGACGTAAGTTGCAGGCAGTATATAACAGTGTACACTTTTAGTAACGATAGATGAGTGGTGACACTTTTCAAGACAAGATTTCATAAAAAAAAAAAATAAATATTTGGGATATGGAGTAAACAGTCTTCATTTACAGTTATCGTACACTAGACAATATTGAGTTAGATCAACGTTGAATCATTTGATCCTGTCTTTTTCTCAGACATAGCGTATATGAATTATGTTTGTCTCATATAGAATAAGAATGCTGAAAATAGTATGATTAAAATACATAGTAGAAGCGCTGTAGTTACGTTGTGACCCTCTGCGCTACGCCATTCAGAGAAGGCTGGTTCCGCCCACATCGGACACAGGTACAAGCATCGATTATGGACTGCAATAGTTATTCTATCGTATTTTCCACATATACATTATAGTGTGAACGCCGAAGAATATCTTCACATTATCCTATTGTTTAAATTATTCTCTAATGGAATAAAGCTTACTAGCTGTGATGTACATAGTTTTTTTTTGAAGGCACATATTGATTTTTGCTTAAATAAACGTAAATGTCTTTTTTTTAATACAAATTTTCTACAGAACCTTTTCAGCCGATGAACAATAAGCTCAAGTAGTTCAACAGATGTCGGTCGAACTACTATTAGTCGGTTCTGACTAAAAGGAGTCTCTATACTCCGAAGTTTTCCGAAAGTCCGAAGCTTCTTTAACATTAAACCTAAAGCTAAAGATCACTAAAGCCCTTGTTCTTCATTCTCGCGGAAAAGTTGTATAGGTAAGCAAGCGTTTCGGCTATAGGCTTGAATCACGGGAAGACTGATTTGATTCCACCGCATAGCCAGTTGTGGTTCGTGGCCTTATGAAATACTCAATTTAGCGATATGCGTCAGGTGCACCTTGTAGGCGCAATACAGAAAGCTAGAAAAATTTTCCCCGGTGGGAAATTGACACTCTCGTTGCTTATCCATGCAGAGTCTTTCGAACGAAAGCATTCATTATAACAGTCGTTGTACCCGCAGAATATAACCATATGCCTACAACTTAAATTTGCTTCGTCTCAACAACGTAAGAAGCAGCCGAATGCACAATAAGATAAAAATGCATATATATTCATCATATTTTTTCTAACTTAGGTATTCGTACTTCTTAAGATACTTGAACTAGATGCGAACTATTAAAGTGCTTAGTAAATGTGTATGGCTGACAAATATTAAAATCGTCCTTCAATGTCATCGAACAGAAAAGCAACTCGAACCAGTCAAGTTCAACGGTTCATATCTATAAATAACGGTAACGATAACAGGTGACAGAATTTATTTCCATAAAAAAAAGAAAAATTTTAGAATCTCGCTAGAATCATAAGAAATACTCCATTTTGAAACCTCGACTTGTCTCAAAATCGATCACAGATCAAAACTTTTCATTAATCTACGAAACAGTCCCCGTTTTCACATTGGGACTTGCACTTATTTCCAGCTGGGTTTCGTTACCCTAACCCATGATGTAATGGCTCAAAACAAATCAAACAGCATTGTAACAGGCATTAGTTGAAAGCTTATACATACATGACCCATATAATAGGCATTTATTTATTTTTTTAATATTTATTTATTATTAATATTGAGCCACCGAACATCTATGTGCAACAGACTATTGTCCAAAAACCTTGGCGAAAGCCAAAGATGTCAACGCTAAAGCGTAAGCAATTTCTCCTCACTCGATCACCGTTGTCCCACCAGTGATTTACGGCGCTAGCTCGATTGAGGCCAGTGTCACGCCATTTTTATTGAAATTTAATTGGTGTTAGGAGTGCAGTATGTGAAACTTTAACGAGTTGGTATCGTTCACCGAACAGTGGGAAGCAGACGATTCTTGCATCGTATATATTCGCACTATCCAGTATAGGGCAATATCCAGTGACGGCAAACTGGAAAGAGGATCATAGTAAATTAGCCCAAATACAATGTCGTCGAGATTGGCAAAGAACGCATTTAATAAATTATTATTCAAATATTTGGCTATACGGTTGATCTGTAATCATCTTTAGGTCTATTTCGCGTACGGTTTAAGTTATATAATTCGCTGCGAATGGCGCGAAATCTCAATAGAACTTCGATTTTGTAATTCAACTTGTCCATGATTCATGCGTAAAATATTTGTACACCGTAATCTTGGTAGTTTTCTCGTGAAACAACTGCATCAGCAGTGATAATAACTACAGGCTTTCTGTCTACGAAACCTCTCTAATAACTTCCCTAAGAAGATCGAAAATCGTAATTGTCAGGGTTTGTGGGCACGGGCGGAGGTGACGCGGGCAGCTCGATACCTTCTAGTTCGAGAGTGGCAAGCTTCAGTTCTAAATCCATAAGTTCCTTGAAATCAGCCAGCGCTGATTTGCTCTCAAGGGACACTCCAATGAGTCCGTTGATCGCATCCCACAGGTCCTCAAACACTTCGGGATCTGTCGTTGCCACGTGAACGGGCGCTGTCTGGGTGGACATTATGGTTAGGGCAAAATCGTCCTTGCGGTAATGTATGCACTGTTTCATGGTGTCAACACGCAAAAGGGACTCAAGTGGAAGGGCCAACGTTTGATGGTCAATGATGACCCGCACCTGATGACGGTCATGAGAAAGCCTTACGGTGACGACTTTATTCTTCATTCGACTGCCCCGATCGCTGACCCGGGAAAAATCGAGGCCTTCTATAAGTTTAGCAATCTTCGACTCGCGCACTAATGACCAAATTTTGTCCTTTAGCTGGCTGGTCAGGAGCTCTGCAAAATCGAGACCGGGCCGTAGATTGTAATGACACTGCTATATTCATAAGGGGAACATTTATGCTAATAATTATTGATATATAATAATAATAATAATAATAATAATAATATTTATTATTATTATTGAAATAATGCAAGCATATAATTGTTATAGCTGGCACTTTCTTCAAATTTACTGTCTTCAATTTACCTACCTTGCCGTTTCACATCTTCACTGGTGAGCTGCTTCACTTCAAGACGCTGTGAGATTACAGGGTACGGCGCCGCATTCAGCGTCAACTGAAGCTGATCGAATGACCATGTGGCCATCTCATCATCGAGCGCAAAAGCTAACTGCTCGCGGACAATGGCAAACACCTTGAGTAGATCGCCTGAAACAGCCCTCATTTCGCGCCAAGTCTTTAAAACAAGTTTCAGCGTGAGGCAAAAGAATTCCTCGAGAAAGCAAGTTAAATCTGTGAAGAACATCCGTAGGAAGGCTTTGTTTCCTTCTGCTGGTGCATCTTCCAAACTTAGCATGTCGACAATCAGATCACTGAGCAGGATGGCGCTCTTAAGGAGTGGGCATATATACTCCAAAGGGACGATGCTGATCTCCTTCATCCAAGGGTATAGGACCATTGAATATTTCTGCTCAAAGTATTTGAGGCAATGTAAAGTAAGACCGTCAATATCGCGGACTGTGATCAGAAACTTCTCTCCTGGCCGCAGGACGTCTTCGTATTCTTCGGGTACTCCTCCAATGCGTTTTAATGCATCGATGTAGCGTCGACTTTGTGGGTCCCTCCAGCCGAGGTGGGTGCGAAGTACCGTCTCCATGAACGAGTTGAACTCATTGTTGTGGCTCATTTCACCTCGTTGGTTATACAGTGGTCCGTATTTATTTCTAAGGAGCTTCGTTTGGAACTGGAACAGCTGCTGACGAAAAGTCATGTCGTTTTCAGTAGAACCTTTAGGAAAGCAGTGGAGTAGTTTTTCAGAAAGGTTTTCGCTTACGTTGAGAATATCAGCGATTAACTTCTGGCAATGTTCTGTGTCGAGACAATCCATGAGGTTGTTCATAAGTATAATGAAATAGCGTGGGGTGCTTGTGTTACCATAAGCAATATTTTCCACGATACGACTGACCGGCAGGTGATCAAATACGTCGGAGGGCATCACTCGAGCCATGTGTCCCAACACAGACAGAGTTACGTCGAAATTGCCCCTGTACTGAGACAGCGGTGCCAACTCGGCGCAAAGTCGCTTGACGAATTCCAATGTAAAATGGTTAACATTTAAGGGACAAACGCTGAGAAACACCTTGATAATGCGAAGGGCTTTGTGCATCTGCGGCCCATTAAAGTGCCCTCCAGCAATAACCTTCACTAACGAATCAATGCCCTCAACAGCGACAAAGCGTTCAGCAAATTTCGGACAGTGGATAAGTAACTTAAGACTTTCCAACGCCTTAGCTTTATTAAACGATTCGAGGTCATTTTTTGCCGTTTGCGCAAGTAGAGTGGGACTTCGCATTAGCACGACGGTGTTACCCTCTTTAAGTATGTCGCGATTCTGTTCCGTCAAATAGAACAGTTTTCCGTCTTCTTCGTATGCGAAACGATATTCCGCAGGCTCGACGTCGATCCGTTGGCAGATGGGCAGTACCTGTGTCTTTATTGGCAGATCTGGCTGAACCATGTAGAAGAGCTTATCGAATTCTGGCCGATGTGGTACTTTCACCCTAACCTTGAAGCTCATCATGGATTGTCGAGAATTACCAAACTGGAAACAACAATTAGAATAGAGGAATAGTAAAGCTAAATAATAAAATTGGTCAAACAGTTATAGCATTTTACTCCACAGCCACTCTGGTGGCACTGTTATCAATTATTGCTTTGTAATTAATATCTAATTATTCTACTGGGCCGAGCTTAAAGCCAACTTATCATCGCAGAAAATAATCTAACGTTGAAATAGCTGGGGATTTTTTAGATTGTCTTAGTAGATTTCTTACTACATTGAACTGTTTTTACAAATAAAAAAATCTGCTTAGTACCTTATAATACCAAGTCATTTCTCACAAATTGATTATTATTTTAAATCTGGTAAAAACGGTAGTTACCGTTAGATCATATTTAGTATTAAAATTGACATAAAAGGCTCATTTTATGTGACTCAGCAGAACTCTACAGACCCCGTAGCGAACACATTGTACGATCTGATTTGTATACTAACATTTATAGAGCCAACTTTTTTATCGTCAATTTTTTCCTGTTGTTGCTGTCTGCTTGCACGATGATATTTGCAAATAGGCAAAAGGGTGGTCGGTCACAGGGAACGGGTAACAACCTCTGTTAGGTGTTTCGCATGCTCTTCGTATCTTTTCATGAAACCTGCACTATTTTTGACGTTGAGCCTCCCTATTGCCCCATAAAAGATAGAGTCAATCGAAATCAACGAACCTTTATACGAGTTTGTTACAATGAATAGTTAAGGGCGTAACTTGGACTGTTTATTCGTATTTGCACAAACAATTTTGTACGAGAAAGTTATAGTCGTGAGCGGGGACAAAAGACGTTTAATAGGAACTCTAACGACCTTGCTAGTGAATTGCATACACATGAATACTAAATATAATTTCTCCGTGTCGTCGTGCATTAAATGACGACTTAACGTTGGATCTACGCCAATAGACAAAGACCAATTGCATTCTGTAGGCCTCGTACAAACCATGAATGGTTTCTGTAGGCCATAGCAAAAACTCTTCAGAGTTCTAAGGCACTTCTGAGAAAAAGTCACACGCGTCAGAGAATTGAATCTAACCGATAACTATCAATAAGGTGTTCTATGGCTTCGGTGTCAGCCTACGAATGGTGCTTTGGGGCAAACTGACGAGAAACAAAGGCCAGATTTGGGGGAAAGAAGGGATCCTGTTCAGACAAAGCCCACGGCGCAGTAACATGAAAGCCCCAACTATTTCTACCCCCAATATAGTAAATAATACGAACCGAAAACACTATAGTAAATCTCGGTCTGACCACGACTCCATTGGGTATCACAGTTTCTGACGTATCTAGAATTTGGGCTATTGCTGACAGCAGCAACGGTCAGCTAAGCTTTACCATTTATCTTGTCTGATGACCTACACTTTTACTCGTTAACCATAGACATTGCACCGAAACTAACAGCCAACTCAACTGTTACCAGTTAACACATCTGGGCAGGTTCATTAACACAAATACACTCTTCTTGTTTTTCCAGAACTGATGAACACGATCTTCATCTTTTTTTTAAGTGTTAAATTGTTGAGCTTCCGCCACTCGCGAATCAATCACAGTCTCGCGTTTGGCACTGCCGGCGCAGACACCTGCTAGCACCAGTCACCTCAGTTTTTCAAACAGCCAAGTCTCCTATCATCGGTAATGTGGTTCTACCACTGTAATGCAAAGGACAGCCAGTGAATGTCCATAAACCTCTTTCGCGTCGTTGAATAGCCCCTGATGAACGTGTGCTCAGATACTATAGGCAAGTCCGCAGGCTGACTGCGGTGGTCCCATTAGTTCAAGCAAAGTTTGTCCTGGAGGACCTTCCTAATAGGTGCCAAGGAGAAGCAGTAGGAGCGATTAAGACTTGACATCAATACTTATCGATATCTATCGCATATTCAGCGATGTCTCCGCATCCGGCTACAGTGAGATATACAGTAGGTTGTCACCTGTCATTATCGCTATGCTCCAGCTTCAGCTGTGCGTACTTCCGTGAAGGCTCTCTAGAGGACGCCTGTGACAGCGAAGGGCAAATGTACGTTTACAAATGACGATGTGGTATTTTTGGCTTATCCACGGCTAGTGCTGCCATCAGTATGCTTGCTTGGAACAACTGTCGCCTTTAGAGATCGCTTTGCTCAATCACTCCAGCGATAACGTCCTTTGTCACCTTTTGACAGCACCACTGATTCGAAAAGCTGAACAAATCGCAACGACAGCGTCCAGTGACGACTGTGAGATGTAACAAGGTAGACGAATCAAAATATGTGCATCTACAAGTAGGTCGGGACCAGATGATTTTCCAGGGGAAAACTCCAAGAGATCCGGATGAAAGATTTCGACGTACGCATTCCTGTACATGCACCAGATCTTTTAGCCGCTGTAGGGTTAAGAATTTACGGAACAGCCTACCTCGCTAGCACCGTAATCTCTCCAGATGTTGACTTGGTGGTTAACTGTCTTAGCTTGTTTATAATGGAAAATTTTTTCCGACGATCGATTGTCTCGCGATTCGCTCTTTCCCGTCGTAGCGGCTTCTGCACTTGTAGTAGCTCTCCTCTCAAATTATTATGGCTAGCCACCATTTATAGCACCCCCTAGAAGCAAAGTGGCGCCAGCATCAGCCGCCGCGTGGCTTGGATGACTACTCCCAAACCATACTCGAATGGTACGATGCCATCATAGGAAATCACCATAAACTCTGCATCTGGTTTAATTCGGTCGTTTGCCCTGAGGACGCTAATACGTGCGCTTTTCGGGAACGTGTACCAGTGAGCTTATGGGCAAGCAATTCAGTCAGCGATATTGCCTGAAGTGGCTAAAGGACTAGACCGTATTAGATAGCTCATCAAGGTGCTCGATTCATTAAGACAGATTGGAAAGACTTTGCCGGCGCTCTAGCGGCCTGATCTGTGTACGTCGGGTGACGTACGCACAAAGGTTGTTCTAGACAAGAAATGGATGTTTGGCAAAAGTCGAACGACAAGTAAATGGTCACTAAGGCTGGCTGGATTGTGAGACGGCTGGGGGAAGCTGTAAATAGTGTAAAAGCTTTCGTTTACTATCGTCTACCATTATTGAAGACACTCATAATAGCAACGAGGCGAGAGGAAGAGTAAAGGAAACGCTAGTATAGAGCGTATAGGTAAAAACGCCGTAACCGTCAGCATCACTATTGGCAGGATAGGACCTTCGATCGATGATCACAGAACGCAGGAATTGAAAAAAATGAATGTTCAATGTGTAAATGGTAACACGGTGATATATTGTGTGGATTTTAGGTGAACTTCGTTTCTGGTTGTGTGCTGAAATTATGCGCATACACTTGTCCAGATCGTGCGTCGGGCATAAAATTGTTATGGCTTGTCGATAGAATTATATAGAAGAGAGGAGTGGTTAGCCAAAGGATTGCGATATGTGTGTCCTTAGCGAGGAAGGATGTTCTGTAGTTTTTTTTTTGCAAATCACATTTTGTTCCGTTCTTGGCCTACGTGCAGCGACGTGTTTGTGGATGGATTTAGTAGTCCAGTAGGAGTAAAAGAAAACCTGCTTGTTTATCCTGGGTACATGTAGTTTCCACCCTGTGTCTGAAAAAGTGATCTGCCATCTGTGAACTTACTTTGGTACACGTAATAGTATCCGGCAGGTCGACAAGGTGAGCAAAAACTAGCACCGTATCAACACAAAACAACCGCCATTGCGACTGGAGTATGATCACAGCATCGAACGCCGATCAATTTCTGCCCCCGTTCGGACCCATGCACAGTTTTTCAGAAGTCATTCAATACCGATACTAGAGGCCTATCGACAAAACTGGGAAGACGAAGAAAGGTCGAAAAATTTAACTCCAATGGCTCATGTCGTCAGTTGTAGCTGGCAGCTCGGCGCTAGTTTCGGCCGACAATGTTGTCGATACGGTTTAGCGGTCTAGACTGTCTCGTATCGCCTAACCGTTTTGATAGAGATTACCACTATGGCGGCGACGGCGACGGCGGCGGCAGTTTATACTGTCTCGATTACTCCTGTCGGCTTATAGACGCACTCCATTTACTTTGCTTAGTCATTTAAATGTAATCACTGTTAGTCAAAGCTTGACCGAAAAACAGCATCGCTGTATTGGGTAAACGTCAATCAGTGCGGACTGCAGAGCGTAACAATAAGCGTTGACGCAAATGACACGATACGCGAACAATTTCTGACCACAGGGGTAGCGTCAACGAAGGGCGGGCGTACGGGCGTTCGTCAAGCCGATTGCTATGTTGTTATAGTGGTCAAAATCGCTATTGCTGGATTGGTTTTTGTGCTTGGGCAATTCGTATGTGAAGGAGCAACTCCCATCGATAAGATGGGCTTTTGTCGGGAGCTTATAGATAGCCACGAGCTGGTCGTTGGCAGCGGAGTGATCGCGCATATGTGAACGTTGTGAGCGGTGTTTGAGTCATAGCCGCATGGATATTTCAAAAAGAGTTATCCCTTTTCCTTCCAAAGATCCTTGCTTTCCTTTTAGACACATAGCGACGTTTTGTCATCTCGCCGTCGGTCTCTGAACGATGTCTGTATTGCGAATATAATTAAAAATAGGGCCATAGCATAAAGAGGATCACGTAAGAATAAATAACGAGCAGGAAGCATAATAGGATTTACATTGATCAAACATAACTGTGTAATGAGCCGAAATTTAGAACTCGTTGTGGAAAAAATCAGTGTCTCATATATAGGGTATTGAACTTCTTAGCCTATTGTGCGTGAGTCCGTCATCTCTATCCATTGCGACAGTCTTCTACCTTATACTTTTTATCGGCAGTACTAACAAAATACAATAGTAGCCATTAAGTGATTATGACTCAGTTGCAAGGGCTGAGTTTGTCGTTGTGTCGCGCTCGCGAGCGAGCAAACATACATATACCTATATATTTTTACATGTTCAAGCAGTGACATAATCAATGTCTTGATCAATTTGGGCTAGTAAGTTCCGTTGTACAGAAGGTCAAACGTATTATGACTCATGATACTCGTTTGAAGAACTGTCATATTCTTGTATAGATAGCTGAAAAATCTCCCTTCGATGCACTATCGTCCTCTCGTGACGCACCTTTCTACTGGTTCTGATTCTATTATAGATTTAGGTTAGCATCACAGCCAGAAGTAAGCGCCTTGCGGCGAAATTCCACTATGAAAAAAGCTTGAACTTTATATCGTGATAAAACTGTAACAAACAGGTGACCCTTTATTACACTTCATCAATTAAGAGTATGAAAAAAAAACATATGATAATAATATCATAATTGGCGCTTTGATCTATTCAAGTAAGCTGTATAGTATGTTGCACGTCGTGTGAAAGCAAATACCTAGCGTGTCGAAACTTTCTTTTCGCTCCGAAGCAGCCGATCAGTCTGGTATTCTGTCAGCGTCAGATATCCCACTGCATCTATTACTAGTCCCTCATTACAAACTCATAGTAGTATAATAGCTTTGCTTTTTTAACGCACAATATAAATTTTTATCATTGTTTTTTCGCTAGGTTACCAGTACACCAAAATCCGCCTATATTGTTAAAAGATACTACTTTGAAGTCAGAGCATGGGTTCTGCTTTCGTCAGGCTGCCTTTCCTCATTACACGTATCACATCACGATCACGCAGAGCAAATTATATCAAGGGCCATCATTACCACGTCTTTTTCCAATCACATTATCCTATACGTTTTTCTTCGCCACCAGGGATATCACATCATGTAGCTTATTATCATGCCGCGAGATATTTCAACTGTTACTCCCTCACTTCTTTCTGTTATGACGCTCCGTCTGCTTCTATTAAAACGCACTAGTACGCGTAGAGTGTCGCGCGGATCTCGCTGGCCAAACGCCAACTTGCCTGTGTCATCGAGTTCCGCTAGCACGGAACGCTAAATTCGCTGTCGTTATTAGTATTATAAAATAACATTTAGCGCAGAGCTGACACCAGGAAAGCTGAACACTGCTCTGGAAAAAGCTAGATAAACGATCTTATATCTCTGTTTGGGTAGTTTACCTGCCATCAATCGACCATTATGTCTGTTACGTTAACGCACCGATGCCATGACGGGCACTAGTCCTGCCGGACGACTTCATGTCAATACGAAACACCGGTTCATTCCATGTGTACTCTATACGTACTTACTGTGCAGACGGCCTCTCTCCAAAAGCTTGACTCCTGTATTTATTTGTCTGTCGCTGGCGCCCTCGCCGTCCAGCGTCTACTTGTATGACTGTATCTACACGGCCACTGCCCTAGAGCCTGAACGTTCAACTTCGACGGTTGTCGCCGGATCTTTCGTTTGCTGGGCCAACAATGTTTGCACCTTTTCCGTAATGTAAGTAAGGAGACTGTGCAAAAAGGCGTATTGTATAAATTATACATATATAAACGATATATAATATTATTACCCGCCGTATCCGTACTTCGTACTCTCATCTCCAGGACACACGATATTCTAATTCTGTAAAGATTCGGCCTGGCACGCTATGAATCTGTTTTACACATCACCGTATTGAACGCCGTTAAAACGCAGCATCCCATCAATAGTCTGCCTTGTATGCGAAATCGTCAGGCGGACTTTGCGCCGTTAATACTCCCATGGGACTGCAAGTGTATTGGGCGATCTGGCGTAGACGTTACTGTACAGCACAGTAACCTAAGGCTCTTGGACAAACTAACTACCCGATCCTGCTTGTGTCCAACGCTGGTATCGAATCGCATCCTGCTGCTCTATGGTCCCCGCTAGGGCCAGCGGGACATACGTAAGCCGAGCGAATCGTTTACCACTGTCAAACACAACCGGCCAAGAATCGGAACGCCGCCTTCAGCAATCGTTACTGCTAATGTTGTTGTTGCCGGGTGGCAGAGACGTGTGTCAAGTGGCAGCAGTCGCGAGCTGACGCGCGTCTATTGACGCAAAACGACTGGCGTTTCTCTACATTTCTCTTTCTCTATCCAAGAGCGTCATCGGCGATGGCCGCTGTTGACACTGCTTAGGGACTAAGATAACAAAAACGAGCGAGGGTCAAACAGATAGTAACGGTGCGCCTAAAACATACGGAAACAACCGTACAGGAGACGAACGCGCAGCGTTACTGAGCATGGGCAGCCTGACAGAACACAGATGAGTATTCGTATGTGTGTATTACTCAGGAGCAATCGGCGCAAACATACGAGCAGGTGACTATGAGGAAGTGGCAATATCCCAGTAAATATGTGGATATCAAAATTATTGAGAATGCGATGACTTGTTGTTATTTGCTTTGTTTCTAGCAGACCGGCCCAAGTGTAAACAATGGCGTAGGAGACAAAGCAAATCAAAAGCAAACTTACACTGAGTTTTAAGCTCAGCTAGTATTGCAGCATATCTCTATAGTCACCGCCAACGACCCTTCTCCAATCTACTTCAGCGGATGGTCGAATTAAGCGCCACCACGTCTCGCTTCTCTTTCGCTTTGTTTCGAATGCGCGCATCATCAGCCGGCCACACGAACGGACG